GAACTCTGCCACCTCTGCTTCTAATATGAGAACATAAAACTGTGTTTTATTCAGTCCCACTAGAGTATATCTTTACATAATGAGACTCTTTTTGTGATCTGTCAGCAGCACTGCAGACGAGCAGCTGCGTGTATATCAAATTGTGCTTTATTCATGACATTAAAATAGCAGCCTCCTTTTTAAGACTTTAATCCCCTTTTTTAAAGAATTAGAAAATGACTTTAATTTTTAAAGTCCATGAGATACAGTACACATAATTTAATCAGTGTATTCAATGATGTGATATCAACCATACAGATGGTTTTCATTTATTGGCCCAGGTTATGAGATATATGATTTTTAATTTTTTTTATTTGTTATCATTATTTCATTGCTCATTAATCAACAGACAAAATACTGAGCCTGAGTTAGCTATATAAGCTAACATGTATCTGCTGTCAACTTATATAATTAACAATGTGAAAATTATACATACCATAACATTACTAAACATTACATCCAATAAAAACAGGCAAATAACCTGTGTTTGTGAATAAATTATAAAATCAAACAATTGTTATTTTTAATTTGTAGTAGTAGTAGTAGAATTATTAACAAAACTAAACTTCCTGACAGTGTCCGTAATTCAGTGAAAGACCACAAATTAAAGGATGCTGCTAGTGATGTATGTTCTTCTTATGGTCAACAAATCCCATGAAAACAACAACCTGCCCTGTGGTAAAGTCCTCTTTAAAACCGGTCTTAACTTTGTAGTTTCATATTTTGGAAAAGGTTGGTATTTCCTGAAAAAGCTGAAGTACTACTACCATCACTTAGTAATTTATTCTCTCAGTTTTTAAGGCCTTCAGTATCACCGATCATGTTTTCAGTTTCAATTTCAAGGCCACAAAAAAATATGTCAAGTCCCTGCCATGCCCAGGGCCTGTCGAGTTGTCAGTACATTCTATACATGAAGAAATGACTTTCACTAGGGCCAGCAGACACACACACACACACACACACACACACACACAGAGAGAGACCTCTCCTGAACACTTTCTAACCTTTAGCAAATTTCTGACTCTGGAGTCTGATACGCACAAGAACAGACAGCTACAAATCATTGCGTCGTCTATGACTTATCTCTGTCAATTACTGACGATGAATGGTTTTGGCAGTGTGAAGGCCAGGTGCATCAATCCAGCGCGTCTTACATTGTCCTAGCTTCTCCACTGTATTGATTCTACTGCTACTGCCTCCATGATCCAGTTTTGATGCCCCCTGACCGCAACAGCTAACTTGAGCACAGATGAAAGGGTGGATATGTAACCTAAACTCCCACCCTGGGACATGTTCACATTCTTGATATCAGATCCTCCTCCCTCCCAACTGAGACTTAATATAGACCCACTGGAGTCATCCCACTACAACTGCTCTTTGCCCGGACCAGATTTCAATCAAGGTTTGATTGCAATGCAATACCTTTTGAGGGGGAAAAACTCCCACCTTAATATCGTTCTTTGACCTTAAAGTGCTTTTGATGCACATCTTCTTAAAGAGGATATCTGGCACATGTCTACATACATCGGTTCATTATTCTCTGTCTCCATACCTCTTCTGTTCTCTTTTTTTTCTTCTCCCCAGCAGAGCTAAATGTGCTAATTCTACCCATTTCACCTTCATAAAATGGCTCCCAAATTTACATATCTGTCTGGGGCCTGTGGCTCAACAGAATGACCGTTCAGTGAGCTGGGGATGGGGTCCATAGTGAGCGGCTCATGCCCTTTACAGCAGCTGCCTGCCAAGGGCTGTGATGGCTGTCTGCAGGATCGCCCACCACAGCTTTGAGTGATTCTCTTTCTTTCACTCTGCCTGGGGTGCGCTGTGTGTTGGAGGCATTGATCGGCCCCTGAATTGGATTGCGGTGGGCCTGATTACTGATGTCAGTGTGTGCTGAGTCACGTGGGCCCGCCGGAGGACCTCGTGCCAAGCCCAGGCCACCTCGCAGCAGGGCGGGGGGGAGGGGTGTGTGTGCGCTGCTTGCTGGAATTACATTTATTAGTCTTAGTTGCACAGAGCGTGAACACAACATGCCCACACATACTGTACACTTAAGTGACACACAAACAAACTAATCTCATTCTATTCCTGGAGCCGTAAAGCAGTGGCTGCTCGTTATTGGCGTTAAATAGAGAGTGTGGGTGGATGCTAGATGATGAAAGGGCTTTAGCATATCAACAAATTAACTCTTTATGATCTATAGTTTTTCTTTCTGGTTTGTTGAGAGTTATTTTGAGCAACTGGTTGTTTTTTTTTTGCCGTGTGACATTTTAAAACAGACGTTCGTTAGTGCAAGGTTACACTCTGTGACTTTGTTGCGTGTGTGTGTGTGTGTGTTTCGACGTCTGTTTGTACTCGAGTGTGTGTAAGCTTGGAAGTGATTCTCCGCGCATCATTTGTTTACGCCCGGAATTGTGGCCATCATCTTTTCCACTAAGAGAACAATAGCCATTTTTCCCCCTTTGCTCAGGAGACAATGAAGTGCCTTCCCGCCTCGCGAGCGACAGGCCAATAAAAAACGTAATTGGATCTGTCAATCAAACATTGCCGTGGTGGGGGGTGTGTGGACGTGCGGGTGGTGGTGGAGGCAGGAGGGTAGCTGGACAACAGGAGTAGTGCAGAGGAAGGAGGGGAGGGAGAGGTTTGCCGTTGCGGAGCGGTACTGCACACAGTTTCCTCTCTGCACACTGCCCGGAGGCGACGGTTACAGAGGTGTACAATTGTTGTGTTTTGCTGTTTGTTTTGTACCTGGGCCAGCGGGTGATGATCTGTCTTTGTTTGTAGGTATTAGTGGGTCGGTGATGTGGCTTTGATGCGACTACACTGGAGAGCCGGGGCTGCCAGAGCCTCTGAAGGTCACAGTGGATGTACTACAGCTGATGTGTCTCTGTGTTTTGTACGCGCTCGGCCCCTCAGACATGTTTTTTTTTTCATACCACGGAAAGGTCCTGTCATTAGTCAGAAGGGCCAGGATGCTTTAGTAGTATTTTTCACGGTACAACACACACACTGAACATCACCTTGTCACATTAAATCATCAGCATATTCATACGTACGCTTACCTTAGCCTGACTAGGTGTGTGGATTATGTGTATTTGCTGCAAGATAAACAGTATGTGCATCTCTTCGCTTGTGCACACACTCTTTTTTTACGTGTTTGTATGTTGCTCTTAGTTTTAATGACAGCTACTTAAATTAAGAGACCATTTACAGCATCTCAGACAGGGATGGTAAGTGTGCATACAGATATTCTGCTCGTCAGACTCCCACTCCAAGCTCTACCTCGGGCTTTTAGGAGATGGCTTTCTCATGTCTATGGTGACACTCTATTTTCATTTTTCTTTTTTTATTATTAGGGAGAGGCACTCTGTCGTCCATCACATTACAGTGTGTGCACACTGTAATGCGATGGATGCGGTGCCTATACGTGTTTTTATGAGACAAAGGGATGTTTTTAACTAAAAGCGTGACTCAGGTGTTGAATACGGTGCAAGTTCTCTGATCGCATTGGCAGTTAAAAGGATTTGTTGAGGTAACTGCAGCATGCATAGTCGTTGAAATGTTTCACACAAAGTCGTTCCACAGCATTCTTTGGCCAACTTTCTACTTTCCTTAAAAACTGCAAAACATATTTCCTGTGGTGGGGTCACACTTGTTTAAATCAAGAGAGGAATGCAGTGCTCGAAATGCTAAGAAACAAAAAAGGTTCCTTATTTAGAGGACTGGAAAGAGACCTGTGCTTTTTCTTTTCTAGGTGCCCTCCTTAAAAGGTAAAAATGCAGGAACAAACCTGATTTAAAAGATAATATTTGTCCCTCGTTGATGTTATTAGATTTTTTTTACTTTTATGAATACAGCAAAAATGCAGAATAAACTTACTCAGCAAATGTGGTGCTGCAGATCAAAACTAAAAGTGCAAGAACATGCAGGTACAAGTAAAATGACACATTTCATTTATTACTGTAGGCTGCAGCTTTCTTTAATAATCTAGTGGTATACTATAATATTATATTCTTCAACTTGGAGTACATTTGAGATTGTAAAAGAACGAGGGGCTGAGTTAAGTATAGGTTGGCCTTATTAAGTGCTCCTCCACAGTATTAAGAGGCTGTAACATTCAGTAGAGGTCAGCAGGTTTGAGTGTTGCACTTTCTTTGCCTTTTGTGCCGGCGAGCACCATTGAATTTAGCTTGACTTTGTCAAGGTCTACGTTCAAACAGTCAGCCATACAGGGCCAGTGTTTCAGCTGATCAATTAACAATATGTTTCTGCCCCCTGTGCAAGACTTCCTAATTTTGGTTTTGTTATGAGAAACGTCCCTCTCCTCCGAGCTTCTAAAGTAGGTAATTACACAGAGAGATTCCCTGTGGGGGATTAAAACAAATGACACAGAAAACACAGCTCGCCACTCACCCAAGCCCTGCCTCTGCTCTAAAACCTCTTGCTTTTAACGCCTACACGCCCATGAATACGCAAACAGTCACAATAAAACACGCTGGCAGCTCATGAAAATTAGTGGGGTCGATGGGAGAAGAGTCAGGAAATGATGGGGAGTCATCATAATTTATGGACATGGTATAACTGGTTTAGCTGCGGGAGCTAAACAAAACTGGTGTTCATATGGATGGTAAGGACCGCAGCGGAATCAGGATCCATCCTGCCAGTTTTGCAGTGACAGGCAGCAGGGAGCATTACTCATCATTACAATCTCTTGTGGCAGCCTATTTTCATCACATTACAGTGGTATAATGAAGTGTAGCATGCTAGCATCCTTAGGTTCTCAGAGTAGTTCACCATCAGTACAAGCAGAGGGCATTCATCCAAGCAGCTTTATTGAAGTTTTTACAGATAGAATAGTGTAATTATTTCACTACTGTACAGTAATACGTGAAGGTAGAGTATTTGCAGAGTAAAAGGTCATAAAATTTAATTTGCTCTTCTTCTTTTTGTCTTTTTTCCAGGAGCAAGGCAAAGTAAGTGTAACTTTCAACATCGGGACGTCGGACATCAGTGTGAAGGAGACAACCACGGCGGTAAATGATGGCAAATATCACTTGGTGCGATTCACCAGGAATGGGGGCAATGCCACCTTGCAGGTGGATAACTGGCCCATCAATGAGCACTTTCCCTCAGGTACTGTCCTTCTCTATCCTTTGTCTGTTGAAATTCAATAGTTTGAATAGAATCACAGTCTTAAAAACACTGGACACCACCTGGTTTTATCTTGAATCAAGGTCCAAGAAGACAAACTTGCTAAAACGTTCCCTTTCTAAGAGGCATGTGTTCGCTATGCTCCCGTTGCAAATTATTCCACAAAAACAGTTCTCTCATGCCCTCAAACCTGACTCCACAGGAGTGTGAGCACACCAAGCACGAATCTTTTGTCTTGCAAGAGGCATTAACTGTGCAACATCTGGCCAGTTCGTTGCAGAAAGGGGATTGAAAGGCACCAAGAGGCATTCGGTCAGTGGGCGAGCAAGAGGAGGACAGAGGCAGGAACCAAGGGTGGCCTGTTGGCCAGATAAAGCTGCTGCCTGCCTGTATCTCTCATCCCCAGGTCAGCAGAAGCAGCACAGCAGCAGAATACAAATGGGGTCATCAAACAGAACCTGCTCCATTTGGAGACTCAGGCAGTCGCCTTGTTTGGAACAGAGATGTGCCACTCAGCGAGCTGAGTGAGAGAGTGAACAAAGAGTAAGAGAGAGAAGGAACTTAAAAGGAAAAAGAAATCTTCCCTACCTTTATTTAACAGTCCATTAAATTGAGTTGGCTGTCCTTGCTCTTTGATATCTGTGCCTCCTCGTCAGGCAGCTGAGAAGAGACCACCTTTGTTTCCTTGTTTGTTATTAACTACTTTTCAATTTCACTTAGTCTAACACAGCAGATGCACAGGGAAGCAACATTGGCACAAAGTGGCTGTTGAGGCAAGGAGAAGTTCGGGTGACAAAAGATAATATGAGACTTCATTGATCTCCAAGGTACAATTGCAGCATAGCAGCAGGACATAATTGGACAGAAACACATGTATAACAAATAGTCAGTGTTGAAGATTAAGTAGTGTTAAGTTACCAGATGTGGAGCTAACGTGAACGGAAACATGTCAGGTCTGGAAATACAACTCTGCATCTCTAGCTAAAAAAAAGAAGAAAAACTGCTGATGCTGCCCAATGGTAAGGAGCAAACAAATAGGATTTGATCTCTTTCACTTCTGAGCCCTATGTCTCAGCAGCCCTACAGCCCCTAGTTGCATGCCTTCGATGAGGACAGGACAGCATCCTCTCCTGGCGTGACCTGGCACGCTGTCTTGGTTTGGTTCAGTGCCAGCACAGGTGATGCTAATCTCTTCTGTCTCTGGCTTTCTTTTGCCGTTGGCGGTCTTTCGCTTTTCTTTGACCAGATAAAGTCAGACAGGTTTCATAACTGCGTTTCTGCCACGGTAATGCTGGAAAATACTGAGGAACTTCATAACATGTGGCACACGCATTTACGCGAGCGACGTCTCCGTCACGCACAGATTTGAACTCACTTCAGACAACCGTGACTGTGATCAGTCACAGAAACACTTTTTTCATCTTCCTCAAGCTCTCAGCCAAGAATTGAGGTATTCTCCATCTTTAATGGCTGGTAATTTTGCTCTGTCATTACCTTCTACCATCAGCATTGAATGGTTGTTTTCTCAACCTCCTATCAATAAGCCACTAAATATCTAGAATCGAATGCCCGCGTCCATTTAGAAATCATTGCTAAATGGCCATTCAGTTTGCGTCTCAGTCTAAGCAATGCGCAACAGTGAGGGCTCCTGCTTTTTTTATTTGGATTCTTTCAAAGTGATCCCTTTGAGGTTTTTTCCCTTTTCTGTCTGACTGCCATTGTCTTGGAAAGCAGTTGAGGTCAGGGGATCGAATGCGCGGTAATTTCTTTTTCTCTTCTGCACAGGTAATTTGCAGGACACTCAGTGATAGTAATTCAACGATGATTGATTTTTTTTTTTCTCTTTATGCCCTCCCTCCCTTGTAAAGGCGTTGTCATCTCATGAGTAATTACATGTCAGGGTGCAGACTCATTGACTTCTTTCTCACACTCCTAACGCTTTAACTTGAAGGCAGCAGCTGCCACAAAGCTCTCAGGTCGTTCAATAAACAGTTACCGGATCTGGGCATGCCCCCTTTCTGTGGAAGGGAATAGGTGAAGACAAAGGTGTTGCTGGATTGCTTGTCAGTCAGAGCTGCTTGCAAAATAGCCCGTGGAGTGTAAATTGGACGCCTTAACTGTAGTGTTTGCAAAGTTGGCGCACGATGTATCGATGTGTGTGGTGAGGAGCTGCTTTAAGAGGCAGCAGGAGGGTTTTGAGCAACTTTTGGGAAGATTCTTTAGCAGCAAGGGTCTTTCTGTGTGTCGTTTGCACGTTCACGCCATATCAGTGTGGGTTTCTCTGGATACTCTTCCCACAGTCCAAAGACATGCAGCTTAGCTTAATTAAAAACTCAAAATTGCCCGTAGGTATGAATGTGAGTGTGAATGGTTTGTCTCTATATGTCATCCCTGCGATAGGCTAACTACTAGGATTGGCTCCAGCTTCCTCTCAAAGGATAAGCAGTATAGATAATGGATTGATGAATATCCATAAATGACTTCTTAAAGGATAATTGTAATATTACAACTTTGGGCCATATCTAATTTATTTCACTATTAACAATTATGAAAGCAATGTGATTGCTGGTAATTTGCTGACATCTATGTTCAGAAGAAATATCAAGAAAGTGAAGACACATGAGCTGTCAGATGATATTGTATATTCAAAATAAACCACAATAATAAGGAAGAGGTCATCAGTAAAGCTATTTTTAAAACTGTCCATATAAGCATCATTGCATTTTACAGACCTACTATCTAGGTAATATACTTGCCTTAGTTGTGTAACGTTTCCTCTTTTTGCATTAAGAGATTATCACCAACATTTCATGGGTTTAAAATGATGTAATAGATAATCTCACTAAATCCCTTTCTTGTTTCTTTCATATTTTACATGATATCAGTTTCTAATGTAATAATTTCAAAATAAAATATATCTGAGACAAGGGAAAAGGAAATTAAACTTAACAGAAGGGCTGGCAGACAACTGAAAACTAACTTGTCATTTAACAGTACCTGCTGTCGTGTTAGGAACAAAGGAAAGTGACAAGAGCAAGTCGGTCATTGTGAAGAACACAGACACTTAGCCAGACAGGTCTCAGGCACTAATGCCAGCAAGGGTTTGGCCATTAAGAATGTGCATCACACTGAGCCTAAGAAAAGAACCTGCTATGTTATTTAGAATCCATTCTTTGAGTTGGGATTGAGCAGATGTTTTCTTTCAGTTTGTACAATGAGCAACATCTCCTTGAGCCACATTTCTTGGTGCAGAGCAGCCTGCACATTCTGGGTCAGAGTTGTGCAGGATGTCTCAGCAGCAGGCTTTTGAGAAACTTTTAAAGATTGCACTTCAGCAAAGGTACACCTGTTGTACCCATACAACCAGCCACTTTATTAGGTACATCTGTAACATCTAATGCAAGAAAATACAACAATACAGGCATAAATCAAAAGGGGTTGTAGTTTGCATCATACCACGATTTTCTGTTTTATGTGCCACCTCATTTACAACCATGAGGAGGGGAAAGGTATCAGGGAGACATTTTGATATCATGTAGTGCAGTACAACAACAACACCACACAGTCAAAGTATCAACGAAAACTGGACACACATGCATCTGTAGTGGAATATGTGGAACAGAGCTCTACTGGTTTGCACTAAACTGTAGAATCATAGCGGACAAAATGATACCAAAGCTACAAAAAATACTGTTAGGTCATCGAAATGATCTTTTTTACAACTAAGGATGACAAGTGATTAAGATCTAAGAACCAACGATGCCAACCAGCCCACAATACTTTAAATGTTTATGTATTTTTATTGTTTGGTAATTTAACTATTCAGAGTGATTTTTAACAAAAATACAAATTGTGCATTTTCTTGCTGGAAATATCGAGAAATAAGACCGTAGAGGATCTTTGTGCCTCACAGCCCCATTCTTCTAGACAACAATGTACCCACACTGATCCCATAAAGCAGTGTTTCCATCAGGCTCCTGCAGCTTACACGTGTTGAGTGTGTGTATGTGTGTTCACGGCTTTGTCTTTCCCTCTCTAATTATTATCTTCCTCCAACATTGCCCTCTCAGATCTCCATTCTTTTTTTGTCCCCAAATTCCTTTTTCATCCGCGGTTCTCATCCTTTTCCAGTCAGTGCTCATCAGGACTGTGCATCTCTTCTACAATCCTGTGTACTTTTGTGACAACCCACATTACTGCAGGGGCTTGTCTTTGTTTAGTGAGAGGGTTCCAGTTTCCTTATATAACACCCGAATCCCTGTACTCTTTGATTTTGGATTACATGATCTTTTTGAGTGAGTTTGAATCTTTGAATTAAAGAATTACTGGACCGAGCCGGGCAGAAATTGTGCATCACACTTTGCCAGAGCTGGCTGAGGTTCAGGCGCTGTCTCAGATGAATGACCATTAGCCTAACTACTCTGCTTGTGCCTCGGGGAAAATGTGTTTATGTGCGTGTTCCATCCTTTGCGGTGGATAAAAGAGGGTTGGTCATAAGGAGAAAGGGCCTGTGTTCATTTTCTGACTCACACATGCTCTCAAACATACAAAGACTTTCATCCACGCGCACACTGATATACGATTTCCACAACCTGAAACGGGAGTGCTGAAATATCTGCCAATCTTTGTTTTGAAATACAGACAAAACAATTCCTCGGGAGCGAGATAAATCCCCACGCGTCCCCGGGGCCAAACATGATTAGCCCTATCTAAGACACAATCTGTGTCCCTCTCAGAACTCAGACTAAACTGAGAGTAGAAGCCGCGAGTCTAATTCATTCTTTCAACACCATAAATTTCAGAGCGACCTGATAAATGATGAATTTACTCTCTGGCTTTGTCTGACGTCTGAGGGAGAATAGAAGTAGGATAGAGGAAAAGTACGGAGGAGAAACAGAGGGACATGGGTGAATAGAATAGAAATGCAGCCACCCAGGGAATACAAAAGCATTTAATGGAGTAGATGACTGGAATAAGTAGACAAAAGGGAGAAAAAGCTGACATATAAACCGACAGATGGGTAAAAGCAGAGGAAGGGATAGAAGAGAATGGGGAAGTACATAAATCATACCAGAATTGTGATTGTAGCTGAAGAAGCTTGATTTAACCAAGAAGAGTTGCGAGCTGATTGCACTGGAGGGAGACAAGAGAAAAAGAGAATAGCCTGCAGCAGATGTAGTAGCGGAGCAGTTAGATGGATGGTGGGCTTCAGAAAAAGGGAGAAGAGAGAGAAACCTGAGGAGATGGGAAGAAAAGCCAGAGAGAGACAGGGAAGAGGGGAGTCAGGGATGAAAGTCAGGTGTAGATTGGAGAGGAGGTGGGTGGTGCAGGATACTCATAACCAGAGAATGCAACTGCTAGCTATGGAGCTGGGCTGTGGGATGATGATTTTTGGACAGGCCCGTGTTATGTGAAATATACTTATCCCCAAATGGAGAGAATGCCAGGAGTGTGTCACGGTGGCCATTTTCACAGTTTTGATGCACTCTCAGCACCGGCCCTGTGATGGAGCCCCAGTGAGATAAGTCTGGCAAGTAAACTAAAATGAAATGAAGCGACCAACCAGCAGATGACTGTGGCCGTGCCAGTGTGTTGTCTGAATGGCTGCCACCAAAGGGGACACATTTAGACGTTGTTTTGGCTGTGGGACAAAAATGGAGGAGCTATGCATTTGGGCTTAAAGACTGAAAATTGTATACAAACACAAAGACCTGTCAAAAAGAGGCTGCATCAGTCAGAAACATACAGCCCTTTTTTTAAAGTGTTAAACAGGTTTGCAGTAAATCACTTGACTTTACAGATGGAAAAAGTGCAATTTATATGTAAAATTCTCAGAGAAGATTAATTGTAGAGTTCAGCAAAGATTTGTACATTCGATAAAGTTTGTTACAAAACGAAAACACTCAGCCAGTCCAGCTTTATCAGGACATGCTTCAGTGAGGTTTTATCAGATTTTTCTGACACTAATTTTCATTTAAATATTGCTGAATTCTGATTGTTGGACAAAGCTACATGACGAGTGAAAAGACTGCAGGCAAAAATGGAAATTTCCGCAGACTCTGACTCCAAAAGCGTAGGATGACATTGTTCATATCCAGGATATTTTGGCTTCATTTCTGGATAGTTGGAGGTTGTGCAGACGTGTCATCCATTATTGTAAGCGGCCTATGGTCACAAGAGAGCAAATAAGTCTGTGGCTGCCAAAGCCTTGGGTGTATTGGAATGAGCAATGGTTTGTTTTATCGTTAAAGAAGCAAATGTTGTTTCAAAATCCATTTAATTGCTATAAGTGAATTAAAAAAGCATTTCATGGACGTTTAAGACTTTTCTATGTGGTTAATTGATGAATGAACATTTTTGTTTGGCAAAATATTAAGAAAAGAGAAATTAGATTGTCTGTGATTAATAAAAATAGACATACGTTAAAAGTAAAACAGAAAGCCAATTTTTACATATAAAGCACCAACTATTTTGTGCACTAGTGAAATCAAGGTTGAACAGTATATGAGGCATAAAAACTGAAATACGAGTTTTAGTTCCAGTAACACGGGCTCTGTGATGGTGACAAAACAGCAAGCCCATAATGGCACTAAAGTACCCTTTCCTCTTTTCTCCAGTAAACTGAACGGTTGATGAAAAATCTTTGAAAAAACGTTTGTCCACTCTGCTTTAAAAAAAAAAAACCTTGAAGGCAGAGGGATTTCATAATAAACAATAGTGCTTTCATTGGCAAGGTCATCCATTCCTAAGTCACCTGGAGAAATGTAATATCAAATTGACAAACTAGAGAGATTTTTCTCATTAGTTGAACAATTAGCTTGTGTTGTATTCATTACAGGGGGACTGTCACCTCATTAATCACCCAGAACAATGTAAGACCTATACCTGAGACCACGCCATTAGTAATGCCCAGCAAGACTATACCTCCTTCTCTCAGTGTCAGATATGACTTCACTCCAGCTAGATAACAACCTGAGACCTAAAGTTGGGACATTAAAGGGCGTTCTCACACCTGTAAGTTCAAACCAAGTGTCATGTACAGTATTTGTTTATATTTGATGCAGTTAGTTTTGGTATCACATTGCAATTTAGGGTGCGCACTCAAGAATTTTATTAGACATATACTTGTTGTTGTCATCAGTGGATTGCATCTACTTATACCTGGCATTGATTTGTTTGTAGACAAACCTGCGTGGCTGTCTGATTGGCTTGGCTATTGTATTTGCTAACTTTTGTGAACAAAGGGTATTTTTAAAGAGTACATAAATATTTAAAAAAAAGAACATTTTGAGTAAAAGTCCTTGTCATCCAGTTCAAACATTACATTATATTGTCAGGGGCGAAGACTATAGGAAATCCTTAGAACCTGGGCAGTATTTTGACATACCATTAAGGTTCCTTTTCTCCTTCTATTGTTTAATGCTGTCTCAACTTCCTGCAATTGGTCAGAAAGTGAAAACTGTCCTGTGATGTTTTGAAGATGCTGCTTGTCCTCCCACCTCTCTTATCCCCGCCCCAGTCCTTGATCCACTCTCGCCAAACTCCTAACCTTTCTGTCTGTTCTCTGGTTTCACATACAACCATCACACCTCCCTCTGTGGCCCTTGTCCAGAGCAGAGTATATTTGGCATCCCCCTAAAACCTGCTTGAGATCAGAGGAATGGGGAGGGAGTCCTGCTAGTTGCTGATTAACCTGCTGGCCCACTGCAGACAAGGTCCTTTAGCTCCTTGGGCTCCCTTGCAGCTTCAGCCACGCTCCTTCTCAGCTGGATGCAAATTGAGCACTTGGCTGGTTTCTCCCTAAATACGACGAGGTATAAAGGAACAACAGAATCAGAAAAGCGGAGGACATTGAGACAAGCTTATGATTTGTCTAATTACTTTGTAGCGTTTTTTTTATAAGCAGGTAAAAACTGTGAACTTAAAACTTGGCAAAAAAACTGAGCAATGGTACCAGGCATGAATACAATGCTTCTGGGTGTAGCAATGAGCTGGTGATATCAAAGCACAGACACTTTTCCAGGAGGCCCTTTCTCACAATTAAGAAGCCTTGCCCTTTCAGTTGTGTTATAAATGTTGACATACCGATGCCTTCTTTTTTCCTTCCAAATGTCTCCCCACCAGGGTACTGAGCGACATCATGGTGTCATTCATAATTCTATACAGGCTTCACTCTTTTGTTGTACCTCAGTGTTTCAAGGCACAGCTGCACTTCTCAATTCTCAGCATTGACAGACATACGGTGGCTTTCAGAGGAAATGCTCCTGTGATTGTCATCCTGGCACGTATGCAACGAAAAATTCTATCATGCTAGAAATGATACACACACAACCTTTTCCTGTAAAAGCTGCTCTATTATCTTTAATTCCAATATACCTGGAATACGTTAGCTGTATTCTCGGAAGAGGGAAAGTGTCTGGGGCTAAGCACTTCTTTACCCGAAAGGCCTCCCACCACGTCAGTAATGATCTCATTTGTATGCATTGTCTTCTTCAAATCTGTGTCACTATGGGACTCCTCTCCCAGTAGGTCCGCAGTACCTCAAATTACCACTTCCTCCTTTCACATTGCCGTCCTTTCCCTGCAAACTGGCTGCACGGCTCCTTTCCGCCAAATGAGCTACTAAACCAAATCATCCCTTGGCCCTTGAAATGTAAAAGCGGGTGGTGTCCAGTGGGAAGAATTAGCACACATAAATTACCTCCAATGTGCTTCAGAGAAAGGCACTTAATACATGTCTAACTTTTTAACCACTTGATTGCCCTTCTCTTGTCTTTACAATGAAATATGAGCAGTAATATGTGTAGACTCTGATGTATGTTTTTAACTATTGTTGCAGGTTACTTATGCAGTGTGTTGTTTCCTTGACTTCTATGGAAATGTGCTGTGCTTTTAATCCATAGATATTCTCTTACATATTCGTGTGGAGTGTGCTTTATAAATGTGAATTTTAAACAATTTAAACTAAAAAATAATCATCATAAAGCTTCTATAAATATTTCTAAACAAAGATAAAACTCATCATAAACCTACTGTATAAATGTGTGATGTCTGTTGCTGTTGCCAACTGTTTCAAGCTGTTTGTTAAATTCTCAAACTTTAAAGGCAACAGCGACATTGAGCGCTATCAAATGGCAAATAAGAAAATCCCGTTCAAATATACCCGGCCAGTAGAAGATTGGCTTCAGGAGAAAGGTAAATCTTTATCGCACTTCTAGAATGTTTTTCTTTTTCAATTTCTGTCATCTCATCGGCTTGTTCCCTTTTCAACCTCTGAGAATGAATAACCATCCCTTAAACCATTTAAAAAACAAGTAAAACAGAAAACCGCTTTTTTTCTTTTTGTACTTTCCTTTGTTTTCTCTCTACTTCTTCCCCCTTTTGGTCTTCATCATGGTTCTTTATTTTTTGTTAACTCATTGTGTCCAGTTAAAGGGACTGGGAAGAGATTTTTATAAACAGCGCAGCAATGAGATTTTTACGTATCAAGTGCTGCTAATCTTTTGTGCAAAATTGTCGAGGAGAAGTCATTATCTATGCTGCAACAGTAGGCCAAATGTTTTGAGAGGAGAATTAACTCCCTTGGCTCAAATCCTCTGCAATGTTTGAGAACAAACTAATCAGCGGGCATATCCCCCTGAAAACTTTCCAAACAGCAGGTACTTTTCCCTGTTGTAATTTACCTGACTGCAGTTATACACATCACACTCTATAAAACCCTCACTTGTTTGCTGATGGAGAGCTAATTGGAGCCTTTTTGACGGCAAAGCGTCACAGTGAGCCGTGCCAGAGTGCACTGCGCCCTGAGAGAGATGTGCGTTTCCATCACTGAGATTATCGAGTCAGCACCTCGTTTGTGTTTAAAACATTTGCGGGGTTTTAAAAGTCTGCTCTCCCTCTTCTGTCTTTTTTTCTGTTTGTATTAAAATTTTCTTATTCAACATAATACCATTATAAACTGCATTTAAAGTTTATTGCACATAAACATCTTAACCTGATTATAAAGTCCCTTTAACAACCGTTTAAACACAGACAGGTCTGAAGAATCCCATTACTGCTGCATGCATGACTCCACACATGCTATTTCATTTTTCACTTCTGTGATATGAGCTTCCTGTCCCTGTCATTCCATGCCTGATGTATTATGTATTATAATTGTGCGGAAGCCGCCAATGTAGCAGGGTTGCAGAGCTACATGTCCGTAAATTATACAATGAGATTTTTAATTATGATTCCTGTATTGTGAAAGTTTCCCGTATTTTCATTTCATAATTAATGCATGAGCAGTGTGTTCTGACAACAATATTTAGGCTTCTCCTAATGAAATTCATCACGACAGGTAGTGAGTGTGTATTGCTCGTACTTTATCATAATATGCCAAAGCCTGGATACATATTTGTTAATCATTTTACCGCATGCGTCCACCGTTTTGTCCACAGAATATTAGGAGTTTCTGCGCAACATGTTCCAGCTCATTTTTCAAATAGTTTTTTTCACACCTGCATGTGTTCGCTCCCCTCTGATAATGCTGCTGTTGTTTTCAGCATTAGTAGTCTCTGTCAGTGCTGCTTTTCCTTGTATATCAAGAGAAAAAGCCTTCCTGCTGTAGATAACAGTGCATATACAGTAGCTGCAGTCATTTAAAAAGAACAGTTTTTGGTTGGTGGGAATTGATAGTTACTTTTATCTAAAAACATTTTGAGTCACCATTAAATTTTAACTCCATCCACACTCTTTCGAGCAGTAAAGAAAGGCAGTATGAGTTAACATACATGTTTAATGTTTATACTGCATTAATATTGCAAAGTGTAGTCCCTTATAAAAGTGGTACAAGTTACATAGTGGCAGCTTCATCTCTCACATCACATGATCCCTTCATCCTGCCTCATACACATATTAATACTCTCTCCTCCGTCCCACATCAGGCCGGCAGCTGACGATCTTCAACACCCAGGCCACTATCTCTATCGGCGGAAACGACCGCAAGCGGCCCTACCAGGGTCAGCTCTCTGGCCTGTACTACAATGGCCTCAAAGTGCTCAACATGGCCGCAGAGGGCCACGTCAACATCAAGGTGAACGGCAGCGTGCGGCTGGTCGGCGACGTGCCGACCAGCCGGGGCGCGGCTCGCACAACCACCTCAGTGCCGCCGGAGATGTCCACCACCTTCATTGAGACCACCACCACCCTGTCCACCACGACCACCAGGAAACAGCGCTCACCACCCACCATTCAGGTACAGCAGCAATTTACGTGAATGGATACAAAGGAAGTTTGTGTATGATTGGAAGAGGGGTAATGGGTGAAAATATCAAATCGCAAAGAGCACAAGTTCAAGTGTGTGTGTGTTTGCATTGTTCATTGCTGTGTTATTCAACTCAAAGTCTGAAGTTAACAGTTGAAGTATTTGACCCTTTCAGTGTTCCAATACTTAAAAAAAACATTCAAACAGGGAAGAAACGTATATCATATCATATCATATCTCCTATTTAATTTAAACAGCGCCCATGTTTTTCCAAAGTTGTAATGACTTCAAAACTCGGGTGATGGGATCTTTCGATGAACACATGAATGCACAGTCACATCCACTGTTCACCACAGTGTGTGGCATTAAGGTGATTTTTCCCTCGCAGGAGATTTGGATACTCTAGCTGCAGCCTTGGAGTTGTGTGAAGCATGGCTATCTGTGCTCTGAATGTTTCGTTTCCTTGATAATCAGGTTTAAAGTGAAATGTCAAAAGGAAACAAAAGCCAGTCTTTTATGTGTTTTTGTGATTGAGTGTGGGCGGATTGGAGCTGCGCTGCTTTTTCCACTACTAACTCACTCAAGGTCAGGATACTGTATTTCTCATTCTATTGAGGATTGAACGGCTGCCGTTCATTGAGGTGTACAAAGCTGACCTTGCTGCTTCTCTCTCTCTCGCTCTCTCTCTTGCTTTCTCTCTGATTGTCCGTCTCTCTGTTTCTGTCTCTGTCTGTCTTGATCTGTCACTCTCCCAATCTGGCCTAACAGAGGCCTTCCTCTAATATGTACTGAGTCCAAGCCAATGAATGTCATTGCTGTGCCAAGAAAGTAATCACGCCGAGCAGTCCTTTGACACTCAGAGGACAAATTGAACCATTGGTTGTTCATATTAAAGCAGTAACTCTCCCTCAGGGGTGAGTCTGGGCGGAGGAGAGGTTGGTCAGTGGACGACAAAGGGGGAACTCAAATAAGCCTCTTCACCCCAACAACATATTGCCTGGCGTGCAGTGATGATGGCCCCTCATGTCAGTGCTGACACTTAAATGTCTCTTTACTGTAAGAGCAGATGTGGGGAGGCCAGAGTTGAAGCTGTTAGAAAGCCACTTAAGACCTGGTGTCAAGCCTTCATATGTGGGGTTTGAAGGTCTGGAGCTAAAGTAAAGCACTTCATATCCACTCCGTCTATGCTAAGAGATGAGTAATCTGGGATAATGATGACTGAGCTGAGATACGTTACACCGCCATCTCCGCCACCATCAACAAGGTCACAATAGATAAGAAAAAACATAGCATCTCTGGGAAAATGGCATTTAGTGTCATAGGCTATTAATATCAAAGGAAGTCAATAAAGTTCTGTGTGCGATGAAGAGCTTTTATATGAAGCACTCTCCTTTTTCCAAGGTGAAATGATGAAGTGATACCTCTTTTGTCAATACCCAGGATGCGGCTGTTAGATGCAAGATTGTGCACTTTCCTAACTTACCAATAAAATGTAGGGTTTTTTTTTTTCTTGCCGTCACTTTAGCTTTCAACTTTTCACTTTACTTTTGTGTTCCTTCTGAGAGCACGCCTTGTTCATTCTTCTTCCACAAGCTCCCATGGCAGCGTCTGCCTTGATTCACACCGCGGTGTCACAGAATTTCATTTGCCAAGGCCTTTAATTTTACAGTTCCCTGGTTGGCTGTCAAATGCTGTGGTGTGAGAGGTAAGGAGAGGGCCCGTACCGGTTTGTCAGATTTCTCCACCCCTCTGGGTAGGGGAGTAAAGGGAGTCGAGCTATCATTAGTGATGTATTGCACCACTGAAAGAGAGCTATAGGCATCTGACACGGTGCTAGGTTTGAGCGCACGTGCAGCTCTGTGGTGGGTAGGATGTGTGGATGCGTTGACCAAAACGGTGTCTGTTTTGGTCTCTTCTCACACATCTATTTTTCGTCCACTTTTGCAACACTAGCTGTTTCTTTTTTCGAGGTGAGAAGTGGTGAATCCCTCACCCTCTCAGGATCAACGGAAAGAGAGGCAGGGCTGGGAAGTGGAGAGAACCAATCTCACGCTTAATTAATGATAGCTCCACAGGGACGAGCCAACACGATAGACATGTTTCCTTTTCTTTCACTCTCCCTTTCGCTCTCCGTCACCGTGTTACTTAGCACGTCTGTGGGTCATGCAGTCAGCCGAGGGAATCAAGATTAGCCTTGACAAGAAAAAAGGGGTTTCAATGTTTTCGAGATTAGATTTCGGCTCAGATCACAGACTAATTAATGATGTTTGTGTATATTTTTGGTGATTATATTGAAGATAAGTTGGGATTTAATGTTTTTACATTTTAAATGTTAAAAACTTGTGAGACTTGATTTAATTTGAACACATGTAACAGAAATATCCAAGTGAAAAAACAAGCTTAAACTAAATTTATATATACTAGTTAAAATATTGTTTGTTTGTTTTTTTAAGTAGTAATTGACTCAGGACTCTACATAGAGTATATTTAGTATTTACTCAAAGCACTGTATTGTAAGTTTCCTTTTTGCATTACAAAATAATACAATTTTTAACTTTGTGCGGCATCAATCCTTTTAAAGATCTGGATAGATTTTTTCTGAAAGTTCCTAAACCAGACTTTGATGAGCTTTTAGATTATTTTATGGCTTTTGAAAAACACAGGTTAATTGGCTTTTGTTTTTTTATAAAACAGGTCCAGGTCCTTGTAAGGACATAACTGAGCTACATCCACGCATTGTTAATTAGTAGATAAACTGTTAATATCTGATAACTAGATGTGTTTTTCAACTTTCATTGTTTTCTCGTGAATATTATACTTCAGCCAAGTTTTTAGATTATTTATCTTAAAAAATTCTGCTTAAAGAGAAAAGTCATAACAATGAAAAGTAATTACGATGGTTGTCTATATCAGCTCAGACAGAATCAGTCGAATGTGTCGGTGTTTACTCGGGAAGTATTGAGAGGTTTTCAGTCACAGAAGGTTCATCAGCCACACAGAGCATTTTGTCATCTGCTTTTTCCATTAAATGAAGTCTGCTGCTGTCTGACAGTGCTGGTGATTTTCAAACCCACTGTGACAGCAGCTGTAATGAGTTGGCTCATCATATCCTTTTCTTTATGAATATTATAAATGGTCTGAGACCTGGTGTGAGACATGTCAACAAGCTGCCTCCTTATGAAGATCACACCCACCGCCGAGTCACAGGTCTGTGTTTCATCCAGTTAGCAGCAGGGACGTTTCTTTGATCATGTGTCACAGAGGGGGGTGACGAATGCTAAGTAGCCAGCCATCAATCCTTCTCCATGCACTGTATATAGCCATGATAATTAGTACACACTGAACTGCTAATGTAATGGCAAGATGTATTATGTTATACTATTGTATGCAGTGCTGGCTCTTGGATTTATTCAAATCAGGGACCATAAAGGAGCCTTTATATGTCCAACATTGATGCACCATCCCTGAATAGGGAAGGTGCACATTTAAGTCATCAATTTTTTGATGGCAGATTGTCTTATATATTTTTGATATTGAGAGCAAGTGTTTATTTATAAAAAAAAAAAAAAGGACAAAACAGGGGCAACTCATGAGCCGATCAGATTTTAACTGGAGCCAATGCCCCCTGGAGCCACCTCTGGATCTGCCCCTGATTGTTTTTGATACTTTCTTTATCATGAGAAGCTAAACTGAAAATGTCATACAGAACAAAAGTAGTTACAAGTTATTACTATCCATCATCCCATCATTATCAATACTGTATTAAATAGTTCCTTAGGCAAATAAATACACAAAACTAATGTCACACTCAATAAACAGTATATAAAAAAAAGCAATGGAATAAATATTCTATAAACTTTACTTATCAAGGCATTTAGTCTCATACGGACCCCCACCAGATCTCTGCTGGCTGTTTGAGCTGCAGTTTTTGGTTAAGTGGTTTGTGTTGAAATTTAAATGGATAAAGAATTATTTTGGAAGTTATGCAACACCCCATTAAAATTCTACTAGTAGTCTTGCAGCATGAAAGGCCAGTAAGGAGGATGAGAGATGATTCCTTATTAAGGGGGAACTCCACAGATTTTACACATCAAGGTTTACTTATAAGTCGCATGGAGTACTGCTATAAAATCAACTTATATAAATCATTTTGTGGCTCCAGAGGTAGCTGAATATTGGATAAATTGCATAAAATGATGTCACTTGAGTCAGTGTCCATTGGGTCTGAATATAACAAGTCTAAGATTTTAAAAGATAAAAGGGGGGGTATTGAGCTGGAGAGAATAGAGGTTTCTAGACTTCAGACGGCTCCGAGCACAACATACCTGAATCCTCCACAGAACCCTCAGCTGTCAAGTTGCATTTTGGGTAATGCTGGTGTCAGCCTGTCATAACCTTGTCAAAACCTGATTTGACAGGAGGAGGAAGAATGTGTGCAGTGTTGAGCTCTGCTGCATCAATGTTGACACTTAGCGTCCGTCGTGAATTTGACTATGTTAAAGTAGGGTGGTGCTCAATCAATGGAGAATAAACAGCAGATTTATGTTTTTCAGTTTCAGCTCTCACATATGATTTATCTCCTGACTCCTTCAAGCTCCGAACACCCCCACACTGTGTCGGAACCACAGATTTAAACAAGTCAAGGTTTTTATATAGGGGTGTTTTCCCACCTGAAAGTCCAAACAAAGGTTCATTTCTTTGTAACATTTTTGTAAGATGTTGTTTCACATTGCAGTTTAGGGAGCGTTTTGACATTCTAACAAGCTGTTGTCAACACGTGTGGGCTGAGTCTACCTATACTTAACATTGATTGGTTTCTAGATGGGCGAGTGTCTGGCGTATTGTCGATTTAGCGTGTTGTAGTCTATCCATTTAAATTAAGAAAATTAGAGCAACGGTTCATTTATTTGAATTAATTGCCACTGTAAAAGCATTGTGGTTCAGGCATAGCACTCAACACCAGTTTCAATGAGCCAAAGTAACGTCCTGGT